TTCTTCGACGTGAAAGTTTCGTCACTACGTTTTCCCTCACCGAAAAGCTCGTGGTAAATTTCAAATGAAGTATCGAGGAACTCAGAGGTGCGAGTCCGAATTCGAACCCACGGTCTCTGCTTGGAGGTGGTAAGTCAAACCATTACATTACCATGGCTTATATATTATTAGTAACATAAACAACAACTTTTGTTCCATGACTTTTTACAAAACAATAAATTTACCAAAATTAAACTTTCAGGTTTTTCTGTACTGTTTGACATAATTTAGATCTGTATTTCATAGTAAGTTTAGACGTGCAAGCGCTCTCACCGACGGCTCACACCCCACTACTGCGTTTTGCACAGAGTGATAATCATTCAGAGCGTTCTATTTAAATATTTCAATTTTTGTATGTAAGTAAAATCTGATAAATTATTTTTAGTCATGGAACAACAGCATTACATAATTCATTTTCTTATAAGCACTGCCTTAGTATCGCAAAAGTGTACAGTTAGTAGGATATTTGGGTGCTTTAATATATCATTCCTGATTCATCGAAATAATTGCGTTAGGCAATGCCAGTAACTTAGATGACGACTAATAAAAATATTAAAAAAATAAATAATTATTTGACCTTTATAAAGTTTTTGGATTCAAAGCTGTGTTCTTGGTTTTTAGACATCATCATTTAGTTATCACCATTGTGAATAGGTTAACTGACATGCCACCTATATTGTGTACAGTTTCTAATTGCCATAGTAGAACGTGCATTTCATTCTATGTAGTCCATTTTATTCTCGAGTGAAGAAATAGGCTTTTTTAAGTTTTTATTTTCTTGCTCAACATTCTCTAGTCTCTAACACAGTGCCATGACTTCTTGGCCTATAAAAGCATGGAACTTGAATTACAGAAATTCAAGAATTCGAAATTTGCAAACTATTTTTTTCACTTTGTTTAATAGTGCTCTTTGAGAGAGCGGAAATGCTCGCGGAATATACGCTTTTGTTTTTGCGTTACGTTAACAATATTGCCGACGTCGTCAGTTAATTTCTGACTCGCAATAGTTCCACGATCAGTGGAAATACTCGAAGCTGTTGAGTGGAAACTCAACAAGAGAGTTTTGAACTGACATTCTTGCAACATATTGACAGAAGTACTAAGCCAGCCCAAACTCTGTTAGGTGTATAATTCTCAGCTACACAGTTAGTTAACGTAGACGTAGTGAAGACGTTTGCTTGATGCTCGTTAGATAGGAGAGTCGGTACGTGTGTTGTATCGTATAAATACTAGACGCACGGGAACGTAAAGCAAACATTGCCAAAGGTAAACCTATAGAGATCACACAAATAATCTTGAATAAAAAATTTATTCATTTAACTATTTTTGCTTGAGTTTAGTAAATGTTCTTGTTAACTGTTTGCATCATAATATGTCTGCAGCAGTCATTGACTAAGTATCACCTCGAAGTCCCAATTCGACAGCATCCAATCGATGATCTATATAAATTAGTCGCAATTTTGGCATGACTTGAGTGATATTTAATTAATATGTTTCATTATTGAAACTATTTTTCCGGATTTAAATCGCGTACGAACATTGGAGAGTATCATTTTCACAAAGTAACATATACGTAGGTACAGTGGAAGAGGGTCAATGATCGCTATTAATATGCTAAATGGTACTTAGTATAAGTGCCTCTTATTTCATCGACTATTGTAAGGAATATACTTAATGTAAAACGATCGTAAAATTCTTTAATCAAAGAAAGATCGATAATTTTTTTCAAAGTGTCTGCATTTCATTTTTATATGTCGATTACTCCGATAGTCTACCGTGTGCTAAATCTAGTCGTCAAATAAACTGGCGGCGACACACGGTCGTTAATTTTTACAGATCACCTCGTACAACCTTCCATGGGCGCAGGCAAGGGAAGAGGCTCGTTACGTTACCACGCAACGAGCATTACCACGCAGACGAGTCGGGTGCCCTACCCTCGAAGCAGGAAATCCGTAGTTCCGGCCGTTTTCCCATTATGGATGACCTACAGACTTGAGTTTCGATCGGGGTTAGAACTAAAAATGTATGACAACGCGATTTGACAGTTTCGAACGGGCCCGCCTTTTCGTTGACGGACTTCGAGGGCACTTCCGTAGGTTATCCAAAGTCGGAACACTGCCGTAACTACAGATTTCGAGCTTCGAGAGTAGTGGCCCCAATAATGGTGCATAGCGAAAAATGGGCAGGCCAAGTGCGCGGCGATGGGTTCTGATGTAATTGCTTAAATATGCTATTGGACTTACCGTGATCCTTGAGAAGAAATCTGTATAATGACGGATAGTGGGAGGCCGCCTTTCGTCGAGTATATAACCAGAAATAAAGACGAAATAAGGGCCATCCATCAACATCCAACAGCCCCTATAGCATGGCTGCTGGCGTCGGATAGATTGACCGACATGTTTGGTTTCTTCAATTTCTTTGACGGAGCTGTGGTAGTCACTCGGCCGGATTTGGTGACGTATCTCGGTCTTGAAGGCCCACTGTTGGTCGCCAGTTTGTAAAGGAGGGAGGTTCTTTCTTCCGTTGGTTGAGGTTACCAAAACAAGCCAAGTGAAACTCCAAATGGTTCAGAAGATTTTTATTTTCACCTTGTATGTCGCCAATACAATTCCACCCTATATGCGGAAGGTCCGGGCAGTTGTTCCCAGATGGGACTCGCCTCCTGGAAACCGTTCCGCAAGATGAGGTTTTTCACCCTATATGATGGGCAATAATCTTTCACCCTATATGAGCGTACGAAATGTCGAGAAGATCCGGGTAGCAGTTCCCAACGAAATAAGGGCCGGATGGCCTTTTATCAGCAAAGAGGCCTTATATCACTTTTAAATATCAACTCTCGGTTCCGCTGAAATCACAAATTATAAAACTGAAATAGTACAGGGCCAATAACAGACCTGTGTGTACGTCTTCTTATATTACAAAAATATTCTGTATTTATTGTAATAAAGATAATATCTCTAACGATGGGGGGCTGTTCTATTCGGTGGTGCGGGAAAAACAGCAAAACATCTAATTACAAAACAAACGGAGTCACATTTCATCGGTAATTAAATTTTTCAATTTTCGTCCATTATAGCAAAGCTTAAGTTAAACTGGTCGTTTAGAAGTGAAACAATTGACGACACCCATCCATTATATATAAATATTTGTCGATGTCGTTTTCTATTGTAGCAACTTTATTTAATATGGGTTCTACTCAAATTTAATTTCTATTATTACTTTCCTTTGTTGCCCTTTATTCTTTTATTCTGAACACTCTTTTTTCACGCAAATATATCACAAAAAGGATACTTAGCTCACTGCAAACATTACCCATATCACCGAAGAACAAAAACAATGGAAGTGCCTTACACCTCGATTCCTATTAGAACCACTGTCGCCAAAACTCACACATTCATAGTTTCTAATTTAAAAAGAAATAACAAAATCTGGACTGTTAATAAATTTTAAACTTTACCCTGTTGGCACATCATTGAAGTTTGATTGCAAGTTTCGACGCTTTGTTTTTAAATTGAAATTTCTAAATTTCAAGCAATTTGCGGTAAATAGTTGAACGACGATGAATTCGACACGTTTACTTAGTTCTCCGAAAAACAAGCGACCACAATGTACCGGTATAAGGTTTAGATACATTCGTCTCTTCTAACAAAAAAAATATTGCGCTAAACAGGAAATTGAAAATTTATTAAAATAAAGTAAGACTTAGCAATGACATGAAACACCACCATAGATAATATTACAAGCGCGATTATCATTTTTGCACCCCAGAATTGCAAAATAAGGCATTTCTCAACGATTTTCGAGGTTTTTCTCGAGGTATTTGACACGACCATAACGCAAAATGCGAAGATGGCCGACTGAGTTTAATTTTGTGGAACTTCGCGTACTGTTGGCGCGCGTTTCACGCAAACGAAGCACTAATGTATTTATTGTTCTGTGCCCCATATTTATTAAAATTAAGTAGGCGCATGAACATAGGTTTTACTGAAACACTAAATTTTCGTTATATTTGTTTTAATAATGATAAAAAACAGAAATAATTCCGTAACCATACCCTCATCATGGACTAACTTCAAACCGGTGGCTATCACCTTAGAGGTAGTAGTCGTAATCGCACATGTTTATGTGTTTTTTTATATAGTATTTGTCCTTCCCCTCGGCTTTTCCCCTGCTTGATGAGCCGAATCGTGCGTTTTCCACTTTATTGCCACCACTTCATTTAGCTACAATTTCACCACTTCAAGTGCTGAGGGCGAGCTCTTAACAACGGTTTTTATTTTATTACATCACTTATGGCGCGTTTTATTGTTGTAAACGTGATAATGGTTTCTACTCGTAAAATAATTGTGTTCATACGTTTTGTTTAGGATTAATAGTAATTAATTACTTATCGATTGATGATGACGACGTTAAAATCGACCGCCCTGTCTAAGATTTACGTTAATTATGACTTATTTCAAAGGATGGCATAATCGCATCGTTTCGACGTGTGATGAGGTCGCTTATAACGAGACAAATCGATCAATAATTAACTGTATGTCAACACCTCATTCAGCTCTACAACACATCACATCATTCCGCTCTACAACTATATACCTACTTAACATAACTTATCATGCCATTTCCTCTAACATTGCTATTGTATACTATGCTAACACTGGACAACACGACACAACTACAGGAACATAGTGTAGATAATGTATCTATAGCCTGTACAATCAACTAAAAGCTTTTCTTTCCTTTATTCCATAAAATTAAAGCTTATGTATAATGATATGCTGTTGAAATAAATGTACTAACATTCATATCTTTGTAACTTTATAGTTATCATGTAAATCTTTAGAAAAACAGCGCAGTTTCAGTTGACTGTACTTGATGACATGAGAGTACTTATCTACTTGTATTTAAGATCAAACTTTACAACAGTATCACATTTTTACTTGCTTACTTTTTGTTATCAGGTAAAAATTTGGTTCCAAAACCGCCGAACCAAATGGAAAAAGAAGGATCGCATATCGAACGGCGAGGTCGCCGAATTCAGAAACCAAGGCAAATCGTGCAACGAGAAGAAACAGCCACAACAGCAACATACGACCCCAGAGGAAACTTCGAAATTGAACCAACCTCTCCAGTCCTACCAAGACCTCAACCCTTCTATTATTACCCATACCCAATCTACAGGTTTCAAAAGAAATACAACGAGAATATTATGCGAGAAAATAAAAAATTCTAAGCATGTCCAACCTGTAAGCCAAAACATAATGCCAAAAATACGTAAAAATAATAATTTAGAGACGACAGACGATATAGAAACAAAAATAATAATATCGAAAATAACTAACAAGTTATTGAACACTGCCATTAACGAGGATAGTGGTAGGGTGACAGTAAAAAGTATGAATCCGGAAATCAGCAACATTGAATCTTCTAGCAAAGATAACATTGATGTGTAAATCTCAAACGTTCATAGTCATTTATTTATTTTTAATCTTACTTTATTAGATCTAACTTTCAATTCAAACGATTTTTTCAGTTCTCAAATAATGTAGGTATTCTTTTAGTCTTAATACGTAATCTTTTAAGCGTTAATTTCCTATTAATGTATAATAATTTAAAACGTTTTTTTAATGTCGCGAGTTGAGGCTGTAATTTTTAATGGTCCAGGTAAGTCAATGATGCAAGTAGATACTTCAAAACATGGCATTACCCTAAACATTCTTACCAATTTGATGTAGATAAATAAAAAAGTTTGGACTATGTCCAATTTATGATCTCAAGGTGCCAAGACTGGTACATAACTTATTATCTTTGGAATTAAAATCCGAATTTAGAGGAAAGAATGAAGAATGTATAGAAGGTGATTCTAACTTCTGAAGTTAACCGTGGTAAATGCATCTTTTAGGCAATTTTTTTTTCCACTTCCTCTTTTGTGTGCAAAGTTCTCACTACACCCTCCTTCCAGGAATAAGCAACTGAGATTATTTGAGACAAAACTAAATTTCTCCGTAAATAATTTTTACCCCGGTTAACTTCATTAAATTATATAGGAATAAAATTATACAGGGTGTATTAAGGATAGGTTTGGTATCAAACTAACATAAAAATACACTTACACTGGAGTTAATGAAAAAATGGCTTTGAGAAATGCTAAATTGTTAGTGTTCATCATTTTTGAGTCGTCGACAGAGAGAGTGGTAGAATACGTACTTGCAGGTTTTTGGTTGAAAACGGCGTTTGCTAAGAATGATTGTTTTTTATCGTACTGAGTGTTGCTGGGCTAGTTTTATTTCAACTAATGTAAGATCGTGTTTAAAAACTAATTGAAAACCGCTTTAACCTACCGAGTTGTAAAACCTAAATATACACCTAAATGTATTTGGAAAAATATTTCTCCTGCACTCGAATGTGTATGCAGTTGGATATGTGCAACCTTCATAAGTATTATTTTTAAGATATAATTACATGTGACGCTGTCTTATGTATGTGTTACTATGTCATTTATTAATAATTGATTATTGGAATCAATAGAATCTAAATGTTATTTAGTATTACTATTATATCTACTAACGCTGTATAAGCTACTTTTGGGAAACGAATTTTTTGCGCTTTTGACATGATTTTCACTGAAAGTCCATATGGTGTATTGTCGAAGAAAAAGTAATCTGGTTTTTGCAACCAATAATACGTCGTCTTTTGGAAGGTGGCTTGGAGATGTCAAAATAGTAACGTACTATTTGATACATTATATTGCGTCATTTGTGACGTATTGGGATTGCCGAGCTGTTTTGAGTATGTTTTATGAAAATTATTTTGAAAAATAGTGAGGACGAACCGCATTAAAAGGATTTTTATGAAAGTGCCCAAAGAAAACACTCCTATATCACAATAAACCGGGCATAAAACGATTGTGCTTGCCACTGACAATTCTTTCGTCTTGTCAGACACATAATCGTTCGTCAAACTGACAAAAACTGACAAGCTGTCAGCCATTAGAACAATATGTGTACGATTTAAAATAATAATTTAAATGTGTCTAGTTCATAATTGAATGTTTTACGCGTACACAAAGCACTGTATTCAATATTCTATCATAACTTAAACCAACCAGTACTGTAGTGAATTTATGGATATATCGCTATTACCTTTTTCATTAATAATTGTGAAATTAATTTCGTGAAACGTTTTTTACGAAATAGGTGAATATATATTATTAATGGATTAAAAAAGAATGTTATATTTTTGATTACCACTCGGTTACGATTGTTTTGTCATATTTTTGGGAATTACCTTTACAGGCAGGTATATAATTATTGTTGGATGATTTATTCGTACAATTATCTCATTGGTTATTTTCATTGATGCCACAGTATTGTCGATACTTTTAAATCTTATAGAATAAATAATAAAAAACGTTGATGTTAAAATAAGATTTTATAATTGCTTGCACTTATAACGCTTCAATTAATGTCAAATCTCAATAACAAATACGTGGAAACAAAAATGGTAGCATTAACATGTAGATTAGACTTAGAAAAGCAATAAAAATTATTAAAAATATTTTTTTATTATTATTGACAACATTTCATCTTTTAAATATATGTAGATGGACTTATAACATTGATCCAAATAGGTATACCTAATTTTATAATTTTACTTTATATATTAGTATGCAAAAGACCTATATACATATTTGAAGGCGATAGGCAAAGAACCTTAAGAGACAAATAGTAACTTTTTCTATAGTGGTGCCCAATCCAAGACCAAGACGAGACTAACCCCAGCCTTGGTGTTGGTCTCTGTCTTGCAGCTTGAGTTTCACAACTGTTGTAATTACATATTGCTACTTATTAGATATGCAAATATGCGACGCGGATTATCGTAAACCGCAGGTTATCATAATGTTTGACGATGACCGGTATCGTAAAAATTTTGATATTAATGACTAACAATTCTTAAGTAACAAACAACAAACTTTAAGCAACTAAAAAGATGAGTGTAGTGAAAAATTTTTACGTATTTGCACAGAATTAAGTTTAATTATTTTTAGTCAACGGCAGGTCATCCTATCCAAAAATGATAAATTTATTCCATTGATATTGAACTGCGTATATTTGATATTAAATTGATTGTCCGTTGAGGGAATTTTACATTTTGGAATAAGCTGTTGTCTGTGTGTTAGCGAGGCATGGAGAATTAAATAAAGTTTATATGGCATTGGATAAAAAGATAAAAAGATGCATTTTTTCAAGACCAGGACTGACAAGACCCTTTATATTACTTACTTTACTTACTTTATATACACATATCTACATAGACGCCGCAAGTGTAAGTACTTCGCGTGCCCAAAGTAAGCGATATTCACTTAGTTGCCACTGCTACACTTCAGAACGCGCTCGACCGTTATCGTAAATAAACACCAGTCGAAAACGCGAAAAATGCATAATTGTGACATTATAAACTGCAAAAGCACCATAACCGTGGCTAAACGGGTAAGCACGGACGTTTCCAACCACGGGCAAGTGATTTTGTAATCAGAAGATGCATAATTTATTTTAAAAACAATTCTTTTGGTTTTGTATGAATTTCGTGAAAACAAATATGTAAGCGAGTATATGCCTCATGGTTCGTAATACATGGTTGCTTTTACTTGGTGCGATTTATTTGTGATCCTTTGTTAATACGCCATGAATATCGAACGAACGCACTTTTGTATAATGCATTCTGTTTCGTGGTACGGCCGCTTGTACATTTCTTTGGCCAACTCATCCATAGAACAACGACCTACATGCAAGATGCTGCTTATTCTCACAGTCAAGATCGACTGTACTTCGATTTTATATTTCCGAAACGAAATAATAAATACATAAAAAATCTGAAAACACCTTTATATGGGTCAAACCCAGCAAAAAGGTACCTTTTTAAAATTTACATGTCCCTTAACTTAAAATTTCTTTGTAAAATTTAGTTTTGAAAATAGACTAAAAACTTTTCTTTTCTGCCATGTTTATTCCTTCTGCCCATGAAATATTTAATTCTAGGGTAAAATTGTTCAATATATTCAGTACTTTCAATGTCAAAAAAAGAGGTTGAAATACCCTTCATACTTTTTCAAAACTTCCTACCGCGACCATCGTATCCATTACAATAGATAACTTATATTTATAAGCAATTATACTGCCAAAATATGTTTGTAATTATCCTTAAAGCTATAATAAATCATTTTCTAAAAGCTGCTTCAATATATCTTTATAATTTACATGGATATGATGGTTTCATTTATTGTCCTAAATAAATCAGTTTCGTTACTCAGTGTTAGTTACACAGCTTTTAAAAATAATTGCTGCATTTCTGAATATACACAATTTTTTTTATTGGCACTCTCTGAACCTTGTTTTAATATTTGTAATATACTGCCATTTTGTTACGGCGAAGAAATTGGACGTTGGTGTTGGGTAAGTATTTTGTACAATTCTTATCAAGTGATTAACGACTGTTTTCTTATGAAAGTGTATTTCTGAATGTTTATATAATATCAAAAGCTACTGATACATACACATACATACATACTCCTAAATTCATTGAGATTTCAGTTGAAAAGCAAATGTTGTGCTTAAAAAAAATTGACGTAAGAATGTATCAGATATTCTTAATAGTTTCGTTACGTTACGAAAATGAGAAAATATAAAGTTGCATATGCATTAATTATAATAACAAACAAACTGAAACATGCATAAAAATAATTTTAAAAAAAATTAACTAAAACTAATTTTGTCTGCAGAAATGGCACCCATGACGAATGCCAAAAGGCAAAAAAATATCGTGAACGCTTGAAAAATGACCACATTAAAAAAAGCATGTACACAGAGTTTAATCAAATAAGAATACAATAAAGTATCTAAGCGATACTCAAAAAAGTAATAAAATAAAATTAAGTGGACCTAATGAAGCAAAAGGAAAAGAAAGATAACCAAAGATAAATAAACACATTGCTTAAAGGAAAAACGAATGAAAAAAGTATAGAAAGACAGCAAAATGTAAATATGGAGAGTGAGAATAAAACAAAAGAAAGAAGAAGTAGTACCGAAAAGAAAAGAAAATAAGAGTAAGACCGCAATTTCAATTTTGAGATTGTAAATGTAAGCGTTAAGAAGGTTTATTGCTTTAAATATGTTTATTTTGTTATGGTGTATTATAATGGCTATTTGAAAGTTCCTATCCAAGTAAAATTTCACTCACTAGATGCACGTGCATTGTGATGTGTAAATTTTTGTTAGTGTAATGAATAATGTGATTTCTGTAGAGCAGAAGTTATAAAGAGCAATAAATATTTTGGTAAATATGGTATGACATTTTACTTACTCAAATTTAAATATATACTTGAGAAGCCAGATAACGATATTAGTTTAGTGTCCTTGACATACGTGTTCATATCTTTATATATCAGTTACGTCCCACCTTTTTGTATCGCCTCTCTCCATTCGTATCGTATCGTTTTTTCTTCTTCTACTCATATTTAAATTTAAAATGTTGAAATGTTCAATTTTACCTCGCATTCTGATTTTGTTTCTTTCCATCGTCACTCTCTGCGCGATCGCGGTAGCGAAAACATCTACTTTCTTGTTTTTGAACCGTTTACATTTTAAGATATTAATATTGTTGTCGTACTGAATA